GTGTGCGACAGGGAGAACTTATTCATAAGGAAAAGGAATGGAGGATGAGGAGGAGGAGGAGGTGGAGGAGGGAGGGAGGGACGGATGGAGGGAGGGAGGGGGAGAGGAGAGGGAGGTAGGAGGAGGAGGGGAGGAGGAGGAGGGGAGGAGGAGGAGGAGGAGGAGGAGGAGGGGGAGGAGGAGAGAAGGAGGAGGAGGAGGAGGAGGAGGAGGAGGAGGAGGAGGAGGAGGAGAGAGCAGCAGCAGGAGGAGGAGCAGGAGGAGGAGCCACCCACGACCCGAGGTCGAGCGCACCAGCGCCCACGCCCGCGGCCTCGACGGCAAGGCCTGCGGGGACGAGGGCTGGCTGCAGGCGGCCCGCCCCCGCCGCGGACGCGCGACCGCCGGCCGGCCGTGCCGCTGGCGCGCGGCCGGCTCGCCGCCGCCGGTCGCGAGGGCAGAGCAGCATCGACGACGCGCCGCCGTTGGGGAGCCCGGACCTCCGACGATCTGACTTCCATCGGGGCGGCCTCTCTCGACGGCGGCCTCGGGGGGGGGCCGTTGGCCCCCGGGCCACCGCAAAGGGGTCCGAGGCGACGAGCTCTCCCCGGGGGCGGGGGTCGGGGCCCCCAGGGGCCGCGGCTTGGAACGCGTCGCACCGGCGGGTGTCGGGGATCAGTTATAGCAGTGGCACGCCGCCGGTGGGAACCCGAGGAGCGTGCTGCTCGCTCGCCTCTCTGCGCGAGGGCACGGTGCTTCTGCAGCACAGCACGTTGGTGGTCTCCCCGCGGCGGCGTGTTACTGGTACTCCAGATCTCGTAATAAAAGGGAGGGGGTCTGGACCCTCCAAGACAAGCCATTTCAGACCCCCCCCCGTGGGAGAACCCTCCAAAACATCGTCCACAGACCCCCCCAGGCCCTTCAAGATAGCCTGGAAGAGACCCCCCCCGAAATGAGACCCCCCTCCCTTTATTACGAAATCTGGAGTATCCTGTGACGCCCGAAATGGGCACGGAAGAAATGGTGCGATACCCGAGAGCAAAGCTTGTCCCAGACCGACAGCGGCCGCTGCTGGGCAGGCAGCCTTCTGTCTCAGGCGGACAACGTCCGCGGCGACGCCGGCAGCGAGTCCTCACGGTCCCCAGGCCTGGTGAGGGCCTTGACGCGGAAGATGCAGGGAAGCGGTGGTCCTCTTGCTCGACAAGTCCAGAATGAACAGGAACTGCTGTCGGTCTTCGTACTCAGTCTTTCCGCACCCGCTTCGATCGTGCCGAATAGCATATACCCCCGGCGCCTCGAGCCTCGAGCCTCGGACCGCGCACCCCAGCGCTCGCACCCCCATCGATCCTCCATCCCGACGAAGCCAGGTCGAGGATGAATTCGGGTGAGGGGAACGAACAGTGACATAAACATGAAGACTCGGAGGCCCACGTGGATTTCTTGGATCCGCGCTGGGCCCCCCTCCCTGGCGCGCTCCGCGCGCCAGGGGCGGCGCCAGAGGCGCCGCCAGGGGGGTCCCAGCGCCGATCCGAGGAACCCGCGCGGACCTCCGACTTATCATGTTTTTATGTCAGTGCCCCTTCCCCTACATATCGAGAGTCTCTGAGATCCCGCGGCCCTGCAGGATACATCGGGCGCCGCGGCCTTCTCAGCGCCTTCCGGAGCACTCTGACGAGGCCGCCCCCGGTCGGCACGGACCCCGCCTCGCTGCAGCGGCCGACGCCTCCTGCCCTCCGGGCTGGCCGCCTCGCCGCCGCCGCAGGCCCGCCGCCGCCGCAGGCTCGCCGCTGGACGCCGCCGGCTCGCCGGCTCGCCGTTGGCCGCTGACCAGGCGCCTCGCCGCCGCCGCCGGCTCGCCGCCGCCGCCGCCGACGCCGCGCCTCGCCACGCCGCTGGCTCGCCGCCACCGCCTTGCGCTGGCGGCCTCGCCGCCGTCGCCGGCTCGCCGCCGTTTCCGGTGGCCCGCCGGCCACCCGTCGGGCCGCACCTCGCGTGGCCGCCGCCGGCGCGGGCGGCGCCGCCGCCAGGCCGAGGGGTTCATGAGCCAGTTTGAAGCTGGGCATGTTCCTCTACAGGAGCAATCTATTCAAGACTAGTCCCGTATTAGTCTGGTGGCGAGTTTTCTGATTCTTGGGACTGTTGCGAAGGCCTTACGGCCGGTGCCGCCGACCCTGGTCGCAATGCGCAGCAAGAGGCACGGGCTGTGGGATGGTTTTGGGGAACGGGGAGAAGGACGAGAAGGTGGGGGAGGGAGGTGTCGTATCTGACCCGGGACTTCCCCGGGACTGCCCTGGGACCCCCCCCGGGACCCCCCCTCCCCTTCCCGTTGGGGAAGGGAAAGGGAAGGGACTTCCCTTCGACTCAATTACGACGTTGCTTAAGGTCGGCTGGAATGGGGACGTCGTTATCTGGACGAACGGCGGGCGACTTCCCCCGGGACCCCACCCCGTGACCCCCACCGGCCCCCCCCCCCCGGGCGGGATTTCCCCAATTGGGTCTTCCCTTCTCGGACTGAATTACAGACGTTGCTCAAAGTCGGGTTGGCTGGGGGGGCGTCGTTCTGACCCCCGCGAACCTCCCCCCGGGAACCCCCCCACAAAAAAAGAAAAAAGGGAAAAAAACCCGACCCCCCCCCTCCCCCCCTCGTCGGGGAAGGGAAAGGGAAGGGGCTTCCCTTCGACTCAATTACGACGTTGCTCAAGGTCGGTACGGGGGGGCCGTCGTATCTGACCCGGGACTCCCCCGGGACCCCCCCCCGGGACCCCCCCTCCCCCCCTCGTCGGGGAAGGGAAAGGGAAGGGGCTTCCCTTCGAATCAATTACGACGTTGCTGAAGGTCGGTTTGGCTAGCGCGCTTGAGGAGGAGGCCCTTGGAAAGGGCGAGGGGAGCGGGGAGGAGCCCAGGGGAAGAGGGGTACCAGGGAAAGGGAACGACAGAGACGACGATTACAAAGAATGACGGAGATGACGGCTCGAACGGAAAAGCCCCTCACACACGCCGACAGGGTCGGCGGATTTTTTTTGGGGGTTTCTTGCAACATCCGCCTGCAGGAGGACATGCTCGACCTAAAGCCAGTTGCAGTCGGTGGTCGTGATGTGGAGTCCAGAGCTCCAACGCCTTGAACTCTATACCGGGGGGCCCTCGCTGGGCCTCGGGGCCGTCGACAAAAAGCGACTCGGCACGAGAAGCCGACGCCCTGGGGAAAGGGTCGGGACTTGCGGGGGGCCTGCAAGTGCTCTTAGAAGATGAGTGGGATCTCGGGGGAAGGACGATCATCATATTTGCCTCCTCCTGGGCTCCCTGACGCATCAAGAGGCCTCCAGCGACCCCCAGGATCTCCGTGGCCTCCGGATACATCCTCCCTCGATCGAGGTTGATCGAAGATCGAGATGCGAGCGCCGATGTTTTTGAGGTTCTTTGTTGCTGTCTCCGGGGGCGCCCTCGTCACCGCGGCTGCCGCGCCGGCCAGTGGAGTGGCCGAGAGTGCGGACGCAGGGGCGCGCTGCCAGATGCTCCCAACCTCGACTCTGAGTACCATGCCCCTCCTCCTCCTCCTCCTCCTCATCCTCCTCCTCCTTCTCCTCCACCTCCTCTCCCCTCCTCCTCCTCACTCCTCCTCTACCTCCCCTCCTCCCTCCTCCTCCCTCCTCCTTCCTCCTCCTCCTCCTCCTCCTCCCTCCTCCTCCCCCTCCTCCTTTCATCCTCTCCCTCCCTACTCCTCTCCTCCTCCTCCCCCCCCTGCTCTCTCCTCCTCCTTTCCACCACCTCCTCCTCATCCTCCCTCCTCCTCCGCCTCCCTCCCCCCCTCCTCCTCCTCCTACTCCTCTCTCCTCCTCCTCCTCTCCTCCTCCTCCTTCCTTCCTCCTCTCCTTCCCCCCTCCTCCTTCCCTCCTCCTCCTCCTCACCTCCCTCCTCCTCCTCTTCCTCCTCCCTCCTCCTCCTCCTCCTCATCCTCCTCCTCCTCCTCCTCCTCCTCCTCCTCCTCCGCTCTCCTGCCTCTCTCTCACGCCCCCTCTTCCTCCTCCTCCTCCTCGAGCCGCGTCTCCCCATGTGGTCGCTACTCCTCCTCCTCCAGCGCGTGGGGAAGGAGGAGGGGGAGAAGAGGGGAGAGGACGAGGACGAGGACGAGGACGAGGAGGACGAAGACGAGGAGGAGGAGGAGGAGGAGGGGGGGCGGGGGGAGGACGGGGGCGCAGGAGCGGGAGCAGCAGGAGGATCCCACCCCTGCCCTGTGCTACACCTCCTCCCCCCTCCTGCCCCTGCTGCCGCCTCTCCTCTCGTGCCGCTCCTCTTCTCCCAGGGTCGTCCGGCCCACGGGCGCGTGCCCCACGGGCGCCTGCCACGCGACAGGTGGAGAAGCTGGACGACTGGTTCGGCAAGTACGGGAGGCGCCCATTGGTGAGTTCGTGGTCGTCGTCATCGCCGTCGTCGCCGTCGTCGTCGTCGTCGTCGTCGTCGTCGTCGTCGTCGTCGTCGTCGTCGTCGTCGTCGTCGTCAGCGTCCTCCTCCTGATGCTCCTGCTCCCCCTCCTTCCCCCTCCCCCCTCCTCTTCGTCCTCCTCGTCTTCGTCGTCCTCGTCCTCGTCCTTGTCCTCGTCCCCCTTCTCTCCCCGCTTCTCCCCCTCCTACTTCCGCATGCGCCGGAGGAGGAGGAGGAGGGGGAGGTGGAGGAGCTGCACGTTGTTGGTTACGTTGTGGTTGTTGTTGTTGTTGTTGTTGTTGTTGTTGTTGTTGTTGTTGTTGTTGTTGTTGTTGTTGTTGTTGTGGCTTTTGGTGGTGATGATGAGGAGGAGGACGGTGGTGGTGGTGGTGATGATGATTCTGCTGTTGCTGATGCTGGTGGTGGTGGTGATGATCATGCTGTTGACGATGATGATGGTGCTTCTGATCATGATAACGATCATCATGATGATACTGTTGAAGTTGATTATGATGATGCTGACGACGATGATGACGACGCCGCCGACGACGAGATTAAGGTGATGACGATGATGGTGAGTATCACGGTTGCGATTGTTGTGATGATGATGTTGCTGATGATGATGATGCTGATGTTGATGACAATGTTCATTCCGCCGACGATGATGATTCTGATGATGCTGCATGGTAATGATAGCGATGATGCTGATGATGTTGCTAATGGTGATGGCGATGGCGATGGTAATGATGGAAATGTTTCTGCTGCTGATGATGACGACGATGCTGATGATGCTGATGCTGCTGCTTCTGATGATGATGATGATGATGATGATGATGACGATGCTGATGCTGCTGCTGATAATGATGACGATGCTGATGACGATGATGATGCTTATGACGAAGTGATGGCGATCGTGATGGTGATGACGATGCTGATGACGATGCCGATGCTGATGATGACGATGATGATGACGATGATGATGATGATGCTGATGATGACGATGATGACGATGAGCGGCGATGACGATGACCTTGTGTATGATGATGGTTATGATAATGATTGTGGTGATGACGATGACGATGATGATGATGATGATGATGATGATGATGATGATGATGATGATGATGATGATGATGATGATGATGATGATTATGATGACGATGAGGATGCGGATGAGGACGATGATGATGCTGTCGCTGATGATGATGCTGATAATGATGATGATGCTGATTCTGATTATGATCATGAGGATGGTGATGATAATGGTGATGATACTGATGATGATTAAGATGATGACGGTGACGATGACGATGACGATGACGATGCTGATGATGATGATAATATTGACGATGATGATGATGATGACGATGATGACGATGAGCGACGATGACGATGACCTTGCGTATACTGAAGGGATGATGATGACGATGATGATGGTGATGATGATGAGGCTGGGGATGAGGATGCTGATGAGGACGATGATGATGCTGCTGATGATGCTGCTGATAATGATGATGCTGATTCTGATGATGCTCCTGATCATGATGCTGCTGATATGATCATGCTGATGGCGATGATGATGGCGATGCTGATATTGATAATGATGCTAATGATGATGCTGATGATGCTGATGATGACGATGCTGATGATGCTGACGATGACCATGATGACGATGACGATGCTGGTCACGACGATGATGATGCTGATGATGATGATGATGATAATGCTGATGCTGACGCTGATGATGATGATGCTATTGATGTTGATTATGAGTATGATTATGATTATGATGATGGTGATGCTGATGAAGATGCCGATGAAGATGCTGATGATGACGATGATGATGATGAGTCTGATGCTGCTGATGATGATGTTGATGATAATGGTGATGATGGTGATGCTGATGATGATGATGATGAAGACGATGCTGATGATGATATTGTTGATGTTGGTGATGATGATGCTGATGCTGCGGCTGCTGCTGCTAATGATTTTTATTACTAGGATGATGATGATGATGATGATGATAATGATGATGATGATACTGATGGTGATGGTGATGTTGATGCTGATGCTGATGATGACGATGATGCTGCTGATGATGTTGCTGCTGCTGATGATGATGTTAGGCATAAAGATACTGATGCGGTTGGTGTTGTTGCTGCTGTCGTTGATGATGACGATGATGACGATGCTGATGTTGATGATGTTGTTGATGATGATGACGATGATGTTGTTGTTGATGGTGATGATGCTGATGCTGATGCTGATGCTGATGCTGATGCTGATGCTGATGATGATGACGATGATGATGATGATGATGATGAGGATGATGATGATGATGATGATGATGATGATGATGATGATGATGATGATGATGATGATGATGATGATGATGATGATGATGATGATGATGATGATGTTGGCAAGGTAGGTAAGGGAGGAGGAAGGCTGAGGAGGAGGAGGAGGAGGAGGAGGAGGAGGAGGAGGAGGAGGAGGAGGAGGAGGAGGAGTGTTCTACCTCGCACAGGAGACTGCAAGGGCCACGCTCTGCCCCCCCCCCCCCCCCTCGGTTCCCCCCCTTTGGGGGGGTCAGGCCCATTGCCATCAACTCCGACGTGCAGCGCTACGCGAGCCTCGTGCTTCGGAGGCCCCCCCCCCAGGAGGGACGAGGCCTCGGGGCCGGGGAAGGTGCAGGATGGAGCCAGATCTCCTGGCGGCCCGAACAAGTCGCGCCCTGGGTTAACGTTTAGGAGCCGCTGGGCAGGCGGACGTGCCTTTTGCTTCGTCTCCTTCTCCTTGTACTCCCCCTCGAGGAGCGATGGTCTCGATCCTCGAGCTTCGGCGATCGTGACTCATGAATGTTTGGGCTCCTTCGGGCCCTCCGTAGGGCCTCCGTTTTGCACAGCCGTACAAGAGCGTGGGGGCATTGCCAGTCGTACTTTTCGGCGTCCGCAATGATTTTCGGTCGTCGCGACACGAACCCGCCGCAGTAGTTTTCGGCGTCCGGGGGGGGGGGGGGCGGTACGGGGGGGGTACGAGGTTTCTGGGTCGAGGCAGTCGAGGGAGAAGACGACTCCAGGCACGCGCAGGCTGGTTTCGCGAGAGGGGTCGAGAAGGGGAGAAGGGGAGAGGAGTGAGTAGCGGGTGGGTGGCAGCGGGGCAGGCGGGGAGGCCAGCGGCCAGGAAGTACGAGCGGGAATGGCACGGGAGGGAGGAGGAGGAGGAGGAGGCAGGAGGAGGAGGAGGTAGGAGGATGAGGAGGACGAGGAGGAGGAGGGAGGAGGAGGAGGAGGAGGAGAAGGAGGAGGAGGAGGACGAAAGTAGGAGAGGAAAGGAAAGGGGAAGGTAGGAGGGGAAGAAGAAGAGGAGCGTAATGAGGAATATCAGGTGGAGAGAGGAGGAGAGGAGGAGGAGGAGGCGGAGGAGGAGGAGGAGGGGGAGGAGGACAAACTAGGTGCGCTCGCGTCATATCTGACGTTCTACCCATCCCTCCCATTCCTTACCATGGCGTAGATCTCTACTCTATTCGCACAATCGGATGTCGTAGAATGGCATAGCGTTACATGGTATAGCATGGTGTTGAATATCAACGCGTAGCATAGCATGGCGTGGCGACGCCCCAAAGTGGGGGGGGCTTCTGCGGCCCCAGAAATCAACGAATCGACACCGCATGTGTAATCACTTCCGATGGCTTCTTCGGGGGGCTATTTTCTAATTTTTTTGGGGTCATTTGGAAGGACCGAAACAATGCCGTGGCATGGCGCTGAAAATAGTCGCCAGCGCTGCAGCGGGAGCACGATTCGGAACGAGCGGAAGCGCGGAAAGGAGGCCAGCGCTGCAGCGGGAGCACGATTCGGAACGAGCGGAAGCGCGGAAAGGAGGCCAGCGCTGCAGCGGGAGCAGAATTTTGAAATAAACCAAAGCGCAAACCCGTTTCTGGAAAATCTGTGTGTAAAAAACCAGTGCGTGAAGGGGTGCCGGCCATTCCCCGGACGTCACCGGGGGAGAGACGAGAGTAGAATTCAGATTTTGGAGGGCGAAAGAGGGGGTCTGCAACAGGGGGTCTTCAATGGGGGCTGAATGGCCCATGTATGCTCAATGTATCGTTCATGTATGTGAACGGGTACGATTGGCATCCAATGTTGGCGGTCATTGAGGGCCAGTCGTTCGTGCCCGCGCGTTGCCCGCGCGGGCACACGCGCCGTCCATCCATTATCGTTCATGCGTGCGGGGGTTCTTGCAGATTGCGCGTGGGGCAGCGAAGTGGAGTGCAAGTGTGTCTTGATTGTGCGATTGATGATCGTGTATGTTCCCAAACGATGACTTCTCGACCCCCAAGACAGATTTGGAATGGGGGCCACTTTTCTCCCAAAATGTGAATTCACATTTTCCTTTTTCCCAAAATATGAATTCACATTTTCCTTTTTCCCGAAATGTGAATTCACATTCTGGCCCCTGTCATAAAGAATCCTACACAAAATTCCAAAATGTGAATTCACATTTTCCTTTTTTCCAAAATGTGAATTCACATTTTCCTTTCTCCCAAAATGTGAATTCACATTTTGCTTTTCCCCACAGTGTGAATTCACATTTTGCCCTGGTCTTCAAGATCCCCAACACAGGCGTTTTGTTCCGCATGTCAGATTGGCTGGGCAGATTTCGACACTCACCTGACCGCTTTCGTGTGTTCCAGCCTTTTCTTTTTGCGCCCTCAGTGCACGTTGCCTTCGTCGCCTTTCCCGAGCCCCCCGCCCCCTTTGCTTCCTTTCCTTTCAAGTCTCGCGCATGGGTGCAGGCGGGGGGCTTCCATTAGTTCCCCCGCCGAACACAGCAATCGAGGATGCATCGCCCATTCATGGCCCATACAGACATCATTGCCGGGACCCTGCGGCCGACCCCCACTTTCACCCTCCAAAAGATGTGTTTTAGACTGTGGGAGGAAGGAGGGGTGGAGGGGGAGGAGGAGGAGGAGGAGGAGGAGGCGGAGGAAGGCGGAGGAGGAGGAGGAGGAGGGGGAGGCGGAGTGAGGAGGAGGAGGAGGAGGAGGGGGAGGCAGCGAGGGGAGGAGAGGAGGAGGAGGAGGAGGAGGAGGAGGAGGAGGAGGGGGAGGAGGAGGAGGAGGAGGAGGAGGAGGAGGAGGAGGAGGAGGAGGAGGGGGAGGAGGAGGAGGCGGAGGCGCAGTCGCCGAGCGCGCTCCACGACATTGGAAGCTTGAAGAAGTGGCTGGGGCCAGTGCTTCCACTCTTTCCTTCGATGCTCGTTTTGGGGACCTTCCTGGGGCCCACCTAATGGATCTGTTCGGTTCGGGTTCGACTCAAGTTCGACTCAGGTTCGACACAGGTTCGACTCAGATTCGACCCAGGTTCGACTCAGGTTCTACTCAGGTTCGACGCAGCTTCGACGCACAAGTGGAGCGAGTGGCTCCAGGAAGGTCCCCAGAATGAGCATCTAGCTTTCCCTCCCTGGCCAGTTTCTTTTTTTTTTTTTTTCCTTCTCAGCCCTGGCGACCGCATCCCTGCTGTTTCGGGCTCGCTTCACTCCCTGCCAGTGTTTCCAGCCCTGGCCACTGCCGCTTTCACTGATTTTCCAACTCCCACTTTTTCCAGCTTCCCTGCGCTCGCAAAATGCCCACTCGCAAACGTCCAAACATCAAGTCTTGTTCGATGCAATGGAGCCTGTTTGCCTCGGTGCAGTGGATCCAGGCCGTTTGCGAGTAACTACTCTGCGAGTAGTGGAGCGCGCTTGTCTGTGCAAGCTGTGGCCAGTGGGGGCGGGCGGGCCGGGTGGGATCAGCCACGCGCAGAGGGGGGTGCGGTAGGTTCGCGTCGTGTCGACCAGCGGCGACCCCGCCGCCAGCGTTCAACGTTGCGCGCCGCCTGGCGTTTCGGACACGGCCGAGCGTTCAAGGCCTGGCGTTTCGGAAACGGCCGAGCGTTAACGATCCCCGCAGTGTCAGGAAACAAGGTCGGGGTCGGCACGACGCGAACCTCCTGTAGGGGGGCCCCATCCCTCAGGACCCCATCTTTGAGCCACCGATCAGTGGCGCGCGCGGCTTGGGCTCGTTGCGCCGGCCGGGCGGGGCTTGGGGGGCCGGGAGGCCGAGGCAACGCGACGCCGACCGGAGCTGGCGAGGGCCACTGTCTCATCAGCAGGTGCTGTGCCGTGTGGGAAGACCGGCCACGCGCAGAGGGGGGTGTGGGGGAGGGGGGGAAGGCTGGAAGGTTTCTCCGGAGGGCTTAGGCGACCCGTCCTCCTCCTCCTCCTCCTCTCCTCCTCCCCCTCCTCCTACTCCTCCTCCTCCTTCTCCTCTCCTCCAACTCCTCTTCTTCTCCTTCCTCCCCCTCCCCCTCCTCCACTCCTCCTCCCCCCTCCTCCTCCTTCTCCTCCTCCTCCTCCGGACTTCCTCCTCCTCCTCCTCCTCTTCCTTCCTCCTCCTCCTCAGCCCTCTCGGGTCGCCTACGGCCCCGGGGGAAACTATGCAGGGAAGGCTTCTTAGAAGCATCCCTGCTCTCAGCAGGCGCGGGCCTAGTCCGTAGAGGTAGGGCCAGCGCCTTCTGAGATGAGCCTTCTTCTAAGACAGCCTTCCCCCCTCCCCCTACCCCCTTTGTGCGCACCGCCAACGCTGCGCAGGACCACCACCGCAGGGATGCTTCCTGTCAGGGTGGCTCCTCCGCCCCCTCTCACCAATGCAGATCATCAGATGCAGCACCCCCCCTGCACATGGCTCCTTTCCCCGTCAACGTCGCGCCCTCTCTTCACGGGGAGGAGGAGGAGGAGGAGGAGGAGGAGGAGGAGGAGGGGGAGGAGGA